AGAGGTGAGGGAGTTATTTGCATACAGGTACAATAATAGTGACAAACCCGTGTACTGGATATATCATTCACACAAGCTAAATTTCCTTCATCTATCACTATGAAAAAGACTAAAAGGATGTTGAGTTGCACACATCAGGAAATGGCTACAGAAAAATCATGAAATTGAATTGAATGATGGAGAAACATGAAAACAGTTGAAAATGTCCATTTGCACTATCAGTGAAATACTTCAGAAGTTTAAAGTAACTGCAGATGTTAAGAATCTGATTGGACGATTGGCCAAAGAATCTCCAAGGATTATAGCTAGAAAACACCACCTACATAACCACAAGTTGTTTTGAAGCGTTGCTAGGGAAAAGCCTCTGCAGTCATGGACGAATTAACTCAAGCGCCTACAGTTTGCCAAACGTTACTAGAAGTCTAAATGGGACCATGTTCTATGGTCAGATGAGACCAATATAGAGCGTTCTTGGCAAAAAACACCAAAGTTGGGTTTAGTGTAGACACAACAATGAATATAGGGAGATGTAAGCACATTACACCCACTGTGAAGTGGTGGATTTGTAATATTTTTGGGCTGTTTTTCTTCCAAAGTCCCTGGATAGCTTGTAGTTGGACCTTCCAGCAGGACAATGATCCAAAACACACCTCAAAATCAACACAAAGTAGTTCACAATTCATCTGTGCCATCACCATCCAGGTTCCCTGACCTAAACCCCACATAAAGCCTGAGGGATAAACTGAGGAGGAGAGCACACAGGTGTAGACCTCAGAATCTGAAGGATCTGGAGAGATTCTGCATGTGGACAAAATGAAACCCACGCCTCTGTGGAGACCAGTCCTGACAATATATGGCCGTGACGGCACACTCTTGATAGGTGCACATGATTTTAAAACAAGAAAATGATCATATAGTCTCTCAGTCAAAGTTTAGTTGCAACTCTGGACTAAAGCAAATGAAACTGAATGAATCTAAGAGCAAACTGTTTTAAAGGAGGGTGGATTGTCTGTCCTGCTTTGTACTTGGTCACATCTCTGACTTGAAAGATGAAGCTTTGGTATTTTATTTTATACCAATAGAATCCAAAAAAGAGAAGAGTAGAGCCTAAAAACTTAATGCTGGATGTTCCATTGCAATTCTGTAAGTTTGTACTTAAGTAGTAATTCATTAGTTTTTTGTGTTGCTACTTTACTTTTTTCTCAACTTATTTTTGAGGAAGGTACTTTTATTTTTAGTCAAGTCATTATTTTACCCAAGTAACAATATTTTTACTTGCAGATGGATGTAGGCTACACTGCCCACTTCTGGGCATGTATATGACAACATGTTGTTACTCTTAAAACGAAAGTTCTTCAAATATTCTTTAGTAAAGTTCTATATATAAGAATAGTTCTATATAGAAAGATGAACACCCAAAGGACTCTTTAAGGAGAACCTTTTCATGATGCAAAGAGTTTTTCAGATTGATGGAGAAAGTGTTGTATATGGTCCTGTATAGAACCTTTTTGAAAAAAGGTTAAGATAAGATAATCCTTTATTAGTCCCACAAGGGGGAAATTCACAGTTCTATGTAGCACCAAAAAGTCAAACGTCAAGCTTGTTACAATAGAAAAACCCTTTTTGGAGCTATATACTTGGTGCTTCAAGAACCCTTAAAGAACCACCTTTTTAGGTAGGGGGTTAGTAAAATAGTAAATTCCTTAGCTATACATTTATAAACTGCCACTATCTACACTGACCAGAAAGTATACTGCCATTTAATGGTTTTCTACTGATAGTTTTGCTGCCAGATGGTCTAGCATATGTTTAATCTGTTCATACAGTTCTGGTTTGGATGCAGTGAAGACAATAAGAGATTAAGAGCTGGATCTAAATCAACAGAAATCCCACAAACAGAGAAATACTGAATGAATTCCTACAGTGTTCACCCCTGTTTATCTTATAACCGGAGGAAAGAGAGTTTTTAATAACTTGAAAACTTTAATTAGAACAGTTTTACAGTGACTCAGTAATCAGAAATGTGTGTCCACCATTTGCCTCCTTGGGTCTGGCCTCAATTCTAGAAGTTTCCAGACCTCGAGTATCTTTCATTACAGTGTTTTCGTCACAGTGAGCCGAACACTGTGGGCGTGGCTCAAACACACGCAGGCTGAGGTGCAAAGACTGAAAGTTCCAGAGCAGCTTAATATTGTTTTAATCTAAAAAAGAATCATCTGACGTAATAATGAAGGGTTTTCTTTAAACCCAGAGCCGTATAGAGAGAGTAGCGTCAACGAAAGTTCAAAATGCTTGATGGTCACGTGATTTACGTAGACTTCAGATAGTTCCACGAAGTTCTTTGCAGGCAATTTAAACCCATAAACACTCAGCGACAGAACTGCGTCTTTTGGTACTTTAAAGTCAATAAATGCACTGATTTACAATATTTATATAGAAACCCAACGTGTGTGTGTAGTTACACCAATGATATATTTTAAAGTCAAATTTGCTACTATGGTAGGAAACAGCTATCGTTACCTGCCTTTTTGACATGTTAGGTTAATGTGAACATGGTTTCAAAGTGTGTTTTCGTTGTTTCATTGCTTTGACTTTTCAGTATTATAGATATTATGTTCTTAAACTTGTATGGTAGTTAGGATCAGTCATATCCTAATGTTTATTGATATACTTAGAAGGAGGGGAAGGGAAGGAATGTTTCAAAATTGAGATCAGATTCATTTTAAACATAAATAAATATAATTAACATAAATACATCTTTAATTAATGGTAGTTTCAGTAATCCCAAGGCCTAGATCATTTTAATGACTTGATGACTACTGTAAACTCTATGACTTTCTGAAAGGACAGAAGGAGAAGGAGCCAAAGAAATTTGTTTGGCTTGCATATGAAAAAATCTGTATTAAAAAGCGTACATTAAAATACATCACATCCAGACAGGACAGGACATAAACACATCTATTTATATTTGTTTGTACACATTAGCTTAATGTTTTATTTATTAAAAATAAGGAACAGGTAAAGAATTGCAAAACCCAGAGAGCTGAGTCTCAGGGTGCAGGGTGGGGGTGCTGTCTTATTGTAGGGAGTCAGGCTGTTGAAACCCCCCGTGGTTCTTGCCATTAATCCAAAATCATCTAAACTGCAACATAATGTACAGATAAGTCAACAGAATCACAAAGCCTGCAAACATCCAATCCATAAGTCTTATATTTGTTTACTCTTTAAAGTCTCCAATATGCGCTCTAAATTCACATCAACAGTGACGTATGACGAAAATAGCTTTCTTTTTATTGTGTAACCTACATTAGCTCGTACTCCAAAATGGATAACGATATTCTCATTTTATCTCCTCCACCTCCACTCTGCAAGCTCGTGCTCCAGTGTTGTAATTAACAAATATCCCACCCACCCCGTGAAAAATCACGTTTAGAAGCCTTTTCTAAGATTCAACAACGGTGGATGAAATGACATTAAGAGCAGGGATTTTACCATCACCAGGCTGTTTATGATATAATGTTAACATTATGGGTTCCTAACTTTACTCAGTACCCTAGCCTAATCTGTTATCTGTTAATGTTCCTTAAATCTACTAATTTAGTCGGGGATAATCCACTGACATACTTTAATATACATGTTAATTTGATTCAGATGTATTATGTACAAACTGATTCTTTAATAGTTTTACCCTTTTAAAGTGCATCACAACCGGTCTATTCTGCTGCAGCTCGGTCGCGCTGCTAGTATTTGCTGCTAACCTCCGCGAACTATTGAGAGGCTCCACTGGAGTGAACGGAGTTGACGCAACTCTCTCTCTATACGGCTCTGTTTAAACCGACCGCTGTATCTCCCGCTCAGTGAGCGTTTCAGTGTTAAATCTCACCGCGTGACTGTGAGCGTCACATAAACGGTTATGGCGCCAAGTATCAACAATCTGATTGGTCAGCACTCTGCTCATTTGCATAAAGCTCGTCCAGAATATGAGCAGAGTCAGAGCTGGTTTATGAAGAGCCTGGTCCTCTTCCTGTTTACCCGTTATATCAAAAACAGGACGGGAAAATGAAGCTAAACGGCAAAAAAAAACAAAAAACAAAAAACAAAGTAGTAAAAAGTAGTTTCTAACTAATTTTAGAGAGCAGAAGGATGTATTTCACCAAAAATGCAATGAAAACTTACCTGTATGTTTACTTTTTTCTACAACAAACGGTTTTGGGGTTGCAGGAGGCTAACAGTACTGCTACTGAATGCTGATAGCAATACTTCTATCGAGTGCTAATTGGTTGACGAACGAGCAGCTCATTGGCTGTTCGTGCTCACTGACGTCATTAACGTAGACGAGGCGCCGTTTTAACATTGTTTTATGCTGTTCTGTGTTCAGGAAATAAATGTATTCTTTTACATTAAAAAATGTTTTAGCATTTATAAACTAGGATTTTGCCCAAATGCTCCATATCAACCCATTCATTTTGGACTCGCTCGGGAGCGCCCTCTAGCGTTTGAGAAACCCAGAAGACATTACTGAGTGGTAATTCTCCTCTCTACAAGTTCTCTGCCAGAGTGATGATGTGCATCAAAGGTCTGATGTCTTTATTCGCTTCATTCGAGCACCGTATGGCACGTTCTGTTTGATGTAATTTGGCAAAAAAAAAAAAAAAAAATGTAAAGGACATTTATTTTGCATGACGTCATCGCCATCACTGCTTAAAACTTCAGCACCCCCAATTAAAACCCCTTCCCGCGTCCCTGCTGAACACTGTAGGCGCTGATTCACCACTGAGTCCTCAAGATCACTGATTCGACACTGCAGATGCTCCTTCAGCGCGAAGAATTGTGCTGTGCATTTGTATAAAAGTTGACAAACTTATGAAAATCAGTCGGGCATTTAGGCTACGTTTATTGCCTTATATTGGTCTCCATCACATATCAAAACACACACACACACACACACACACACACACACACACACTTACTCTATAAAGACCACCCCCCCGCCCCCAGACTCAGCAGTCTCCTCCACTCTGTACTATGGTGAATAAGAAGGTGCAGATGCTCGCCCACGCCTCCCCGCACTTCTCCTCCGCGAGCCTGCGGTGATCCGCGCTCTCCGCGCACTCCGGTGCGCGCGTGGTGCTCTCTGGGAAGTCCACACTCGCTGTTGTGGTGGTCTTTGGTCCCGTCTCCGGACGCGCGAGTCTGAAGTGCGCGGCCGGCGGCGCACGCACACACATGCCCGCCCGCACCACGGCGCGCTCGTCGGCGCACAGCTGCTTCTGCTTCGCGAGAGCGCGCCCGACCTGCCGCCAGTAGCGGCGCGCGCCGGTGCCGTAAGCCGAGCACGCCGCCGGCTCGCCCGCGTACTCGCACGTGAACTTGCCGCGCGCCTCCGACTCGCACGCGATCCTCAGTGCGAACGTCTTCTCTCCACTCGCCGTCCACGTGCAAAGCGAGCTGTCGCGTGCCGTAAAGCTGCCCTCGAACACGCTCCCGTTTCCGCTCCGAGCGCTCGCGACTGCGTCGCCTCCCCGCCTCTTTCCTCCGCTGCGCGCTCCCGCGCCTTCGCCAATCAGCAGCAGCAGCGCGAGACTTCCAAACAGCCACATCTGTATCTCACACGCACGCGCCGATCTGAAATATAATGATGTGTCTAGTTAGAGACAGAATGTATTGTTTTTGACAACAAACGGCTCAAATGGCTCCCTACTCCCTACACAGTGCACTAGGTAAGTCATGAAATAACGGCTTCTGCTCACTCAATGTTAAACATGCAGTCGTGCAGCCCACAGCTCACCGCCAAACTATTATTATTAGACATTTAATGCACCATTTGGGTGTGAAGGTTCATATTTCATGACCTACATAGTGCACTTCAGAGGAGACATTTGAGATTCATCCAGAGTTTAAACCAGGAGGGAAAAGTACTTAATCCAGCGTACTTTGTTACTATACTTAAGTACTATTTTGGAAAAAATCTGTATTTCGAATAATATTTAAATTGTACTTTTACTCTAATTACAGTAAAAAAACACACTTTGTACTCCTCACATTTTCATTTAGACATTCAAAGTACAAAGTATACCACCATGAGACAGAATTGTTAAAACACCCTAAATTCATTCACAACTCAGTGCCCACAGCTCCACAGCCCTGCAGCGCCTTTTAGTAAACACGGCAAACAGCTGTGAGCTGAATACAGTTAAGAGTCAAAAAGATAAGAGTCAGTTCTCCGTGACAGATGTAGCCTCTCCTGCGCTCAGTTTAAACACACGATCCCTTTTAGTTCGTTATAACTGTACTTACCGGTACAGAGATGCCCGGAATGCGGTCCGTGCAGCGCGAGGCTTAACGCGCGGGTCCTTTATACTGCACACCCACCTCCCTCTCCACAATCACACACACACACACACACACACACACACACACACACACACACACACACACACACACACACAATCTCTCTCTCTCTCTCTCTCTCACACACACACACACACGTTCATTCCAGCTCTTTTCAGTGAATTAAATCAATCGGTTCAGATCCGGCTCTTTCGACTCCCAGATTAGCCAAGTTAGCAATACTCTTCATCACAGTGGTCACCAGCCCTGTTCCATCCTCAATCTCACACACATCAGCTAATCAGGAACTTCTGAAGGCAATAATTATGATCAGGTGGGTCAGTTAGGGTTATGGCTAAAGCAGACGTGTCAAACTCAACCACTGAAAGGGCCATATTAAAAAATCTCATCAAATCTGTGGGCCAGCTGTGTTTTTATTTTATTTTTATTTATGTCTTATTTAAGTCATGCTGCTCTTCATGCTGAACAGCCTTCAGTGGGCTATACAGCACAAGCTGTGTGCAGGACAGGGGGGTGACTCGCCTGCCAGCTTCAGGGACTGAGCCAGTCAGACTATCTCAAACAGCCAGTTCTAGCGGCTTTTAAGCGTGTCCATTCATAATTTGGTCAAGAGATGATGAGCCTGTATGACTTTTGAAAACACTACATACAGCGACTGAGGGCAAGACGCTTCATACTCATCTCCAAAGCCAGTTTTTATCGTTTCAGCTTTGGATCTGTCTGTGTGGTAAACCTGTGTGCTTTCCAAGCTCACCTGTTTTCCTCCGTTTGCGAGTCGTTTCACTCTCATTACACTCGGATTGTTCAGCTGAGAGCAACTTCAGCTAGAAAGTTACTGCTTTAACCGCGTTATATTCGCAGTAAGTTAACTTCATTAGATAGATGAGGTCAGCAAACATCAGCAGAGAAAAGCTGTATAACAGAGAACCTGTAGAGAGGAGAATTACCAGAGGCGGTTTATGAGGAATCTGACCTCTTTCTATTCCCCCTTAAATCAAAACAGGACTGCTAAACGCCAGAGGGCGCCCAAGAGCGAGTCCTCAATGCATGGGGTGAGGAAAACGGCTAAAAACGAAAGGTTAAAATAGTTTCTAATGACTTTCCCAGAACTTTCCTTTAATTTTAGAGAGTAGAAGGATGTATTTCATTTTAAAAGCAAAGAAAACTCAGCTGTATGTTTCCTTTTTGTACAGCAAACAGCTTTTAGGCAGCAGGACACTAACATTACTGCTACTGCTACTGATTGATTAGTATTACTGTTGCTGATTGAATGAGCAGCTCATTGGCTGTCCGCGCTCACAGACGTCATGAACGTACATGAGGCGCTGTTTTAAACTCCTGTAACTCGAGTTCTAAAGCTCTAAAATATAACAGCGGTGTTAATGTTTTATGCTGTTCTGTGTTCAGGAAATGAATGTGTTCTTCTACGATAAAATGTTTAAGCATTTATAGACATTATACAGTGGTAATTCCAGAGAACTTGTAGAGAGGAGAACTACCACTCTGTAATGTCTTTGGGTTTCTTAAACACAAGAGGGCGCTCCGCTAATATAAAGCAATACATTCATTTCCCGAGCACAGAACAGCATAAAACAGTGAGCGTGAACAGCCAATGAGCTGCTCCGCTCGCCAACCAATCAGCACTCAGTAGCAGTAACGTTAGTGTTCTGCTGCCCAAAACCTGTTTGCTGTAGAAAAAGGAAACAAACAGGTGAGTTTTCTTTGCTTTTTTAATGAAATACATTCTTCTACTTTTTAAAACGGAAAGTACTGGGCAAGTGATTAGAAACTATTTTAACTTTTTGTTTTTGGCCGTTTAGCTCCATTCACACCCATTCATTTAGAACTTGCTCTGGTGTTTTGCTGTCATCTTTTTGTTATAACAGGAAATAGGCCAGGCTCCTCGTAAACCGGCTCTGGGTGTATCACAGAAGTACATTCAATTCCACAGTATGCAGTACCGTTCTGTCCCCTACACACTTGAGTGCTGGATCTTCAAAAGTCCTGCAATGACTGATGGGTAAACTTTCCTGCACCTCCATGTGAAGAGATAAACCAGTGTTAACTACTCCCTGTGCAGTTTAAAGTTCTCTCTCAATGGACATTTTTCACTCCCTGTGGTTTGAAATCACCCTTAACATGTCTGAACACCCTGTGCAGTACACTTTGCAGGGGCCTATGAGGGCGACTGGAATTAACCCAGAGATCCTACCTGTGTACTGGGATATTTGGTAGGATTAGTACGTCATCCAGGTATCTTTGGCGTAGGCCTACTGGTGAAATTCATGTTGGGCACACAGGCATACTACTTAGGCCTACTCCTTTTGGGTTCAGTCAGTACGAGAGCAGGATGTCAGCTATTTCGAACACAGCCATAGACTTTCAGGTACAGCATCATGTGATTTGCCCACTGGTCTTGTCCTAATTTCCCAAAAATCGGCTCTTCGATGCAAGTTGGCTCCTAACGTTCACCTAGAAGAGCCGAATCAAAGAGCTGACAGCACTCAGTCACACACAAGGCCGCGAGAGAAAAAACAAACAGATCAGAGCTTATGTCTGCTTCTCTTCAACGGTCGTGCTGTTTGTGTTTCAGCACCATTTCTCCTCCAAACCTCTGTTAGCACTTTCCTCTTCAGAGTGGAAACCATATGTGTACTGAAAACACGCAGACTAAAAGAAGACAGTAAAAGTGACAGAAAACAAAACAAAATCAAACAAACAAACGAAAAAGAAATAGTGCACATAAAAGCAGTTTGGTGATTTTGATGATGAAGGGTTCGGTAAATTTGTTGTTGTTAGCTTAACACGTGCGATGTTGGTTGTGCTACTCTGTGTTGGTCTGTGGGTGGTTGGTGTTGGGCCGGTGTCTACCATGGAGTGGAAGTGTTTGGCTAGAAGTGACCTCAGCGCTTGGTTAGCACCGAGTGGCGGTTCACTTGCTGCCTGTCCAATAAAAGAGCATTCGCCTTCAAAGCGCAATGTTTCTGCTTCGTCTTTGCTGATGCCACAGTATGCGGCAGTATTACTGTCACATATACATTTACTTCTTTATATATGTCTTGTTGAATATCAGGCCTATCTGTAGTGTGAATTCATTGTTTGTCCATATGCCCAATGATGTTGCTAAAGAATGGAGTGAAGCGTTAAATAATTTGCAGTATCTTCACATATTTCACACATTTTGTGCTATTTATGGTTCCAGCTTTTTTGGAGAAAGTTTGTAAAAGTTGTGGGAAACACAAGGTGCACATATGTATATATAAAATGTAGCCTGTGCAAAAGTAGAGCAGAGTTTATTTATTTGTTCACAATATGACAAACTAAAATTTGAAGAAAAGGCCATAGGTTTGTTTTCTATAGATGTTTTATTTTCACAAATTCAACCAGGAGTTTTGGATACAACTGTGACTTTTACTTGGTTTATAAAGATTCCTTTGTCTTTACATGTTTTTGTAACAGTTATCACTGTTAGTTCAACTTATTTTACCATGCATTTGTTGCTATGTGTTGTTTTCATATCTTGACTTTTATATAGTATGGCATGTGCATGGTGTAGGCTAACTTGTGGCTCGTTGATTAGCTTGCAAATTCAGTCAGTTTATCTCGCCTAGCTGGGTAGGCTATCTTTAGTGAACTTCCATTTGCTGGATGTCACAAGACAAATTAAGGACATCGCCAGAACTTCAGTGGTATCTCTGTTTTCCCATGGAATTTTAGTCAGTTCCCTTATTGAAAAGAAACCCATATGGGCATGCATATTTTTATGTGAGATACATTTCAAATATATTGTTTCATTCCAAAACATATTTCACATACTATAGTATTCATCCATTTTTTGGTCATTTTCATATGTAAATATTTAAATTTGATAAACTTTATATATATTTATTTTTCATATGGATTGATTGTAAATGTTTTTATTGATAATAGGATTATATGTGCTGAGTTTTATTGTATTTTTGGCTGATTTCTGTCTTGATCTGGGGTTAACTTATTTAATTCTTGTAAAATTTCAAATTGTTTTTGCTTTTTACAGGGCAATTCCACCATTCTCTCAAAAGTTTGCATATTTCAGTTGTTGAGATGTACACAAAGTCATTCAAAGAGGTTTAATGTGAAATGGTAGTAGACTTGGATGGTTTCACAGTGGTTGTGACAGGGATCAGATGTTGTGATGTCTACAATGCAAATTTTATTTACTATCCAAAAACACCAGTGAACCTACACGTCTTCTGAGTTTTTACATGTA